CCTACAGAAACCACTTCAAGACGATTCGCTAGTCCAAGTCATGTCTACTAATATGGAAAATATGGTGACCAGAAGTGTGGCAAGATCTGACAGATCTCTGAAATCTCGTGGCTCAAAATGCTCTGTGCATACGCAAACTTCTGAATACCATCTTCGCATGCTGGAATTGCAGTTGCAGCAAGAAATGTTGAATATAGAAAGTAAGTATGAAAGAAGAGAACAAGAACGAGAGAAGGAGTTGCTGAAAATTAAACAAGAAGTTTCACGTATCAGGTTTGTTAATCAAGCTAGGTCTGAACCTGCCAGAACCAGAGCCCACTCATCACAATCTGACCCTGGTACTGACTCGGAAATGAGCTGTGTTTTGGATGTGCAGTTAAAATCTCATTCAGCTCAAGAAATTATTTGTGATAAATGGGCAAGTGATGTTAATTCCCACATTGAAAATGGAACAATAGATCCACAACCCAGATCTGATTTCTGTGCTGCTACTAGTGGAATGGGTGCCCTTCCAGTGATTTAAAGGGTTGTGAATCGGTTAGTGCTCCCGCTCAGGTGGACATGCAATCAGCATGTCAAGTTCTTGGTCCTATAACCTCAAGTATTGCTCTTCAACAGTCTGCTGTACCTGTGCTGGTTAATACTAACATGCCTGCAAGTCGCCTACCATCAGTTCCTGAATCTCGTGTGCTGTTCACTCAAGAGCACTCCTGTGAATCCTTCAGTTCCTCCATTTACAACCTTTTCCAAGACCATGCCAACTGTTCAAACACCCAATCATTCTGGGCATGAAGTGACACATCCTCTCACCATGGGGCAAGCTACCCATATACTGCAAGCATTAGATTCCACGATGATGAGCCAGCAAGAGCTTAGCCGCAGAACACTGCTCCCTCCTATAAAGCTTGAGAGATTTAATGGGGATTTAACCAAGTTTGTCCAGTTCCGCAATACATTTACATGGAATGTAGAAAGCAACACTGAAGATCCCAAGAGAAGGTTGACTCATCTTTACAATCAGCTAGATGGCCCTCCAAGAAAGCTTATAGAAATGATGCCTACGTTGTTGAATAAGGAATATGAAGACTCGCATAACCTTATTGAGGCCTACATCAGGAAACTACTGGAGTGGAAGGACATTGATGTGAGTGATGTAGAAGAGTTAGAGGAGTATGGTTCTTATCTCTTCAATGTGCAGTGTGCTCTTAGAGAAAATATTATGAGGATGGAGCTAAGGGAAGTGATGACTAAAGTGGTTAGCAAACTACCAAGTACCTACGAAATAAATGGGCAGCTAGGTGTGTGACCCAGGAATCAGGATACTCCTTCCCCTCATTAGTAGCCTTTGTCAAGGAGCAAGCCAAGGTTGCAAAGGAAGGCAGGTATATCGAAGAAGCGCGAAGTAAACAACTTTCTATTAGGAGAAAAGTTGCTGTAATCAATAAGCCTAAAGGACTCACTGTAAGTACAACACATCCAGTCTGTGAATCTAACATTGGGACAGATGATTGTCTTTGTTGCAATAAACGAGGTCATGCTTTACATGCCTGTTTCAAGTTTGGCAGATTAAATGTACAAGATCGCTGGAATACGGCCATGTCCAAGAGGCTGTGTTTCCGTTGCCTTAAACCCTCTCATGGCCATAGAGACTGCAAGGATAAAAGTAAATGTGGTCAGTGTGGTGCAGATTCACATCACACAATTCTGCACAGACCTCTGTTCAAACATCCTACACTTCAGCACAAAGGACGGTAAAATTAACACGAGGAGAGAACTGAGCCGTAGCACCTATGGAGACAGCCAGAACCAAAATGAGGTAAGTGGGGGTGGTGTGAAGAACAAGGGTTGAGGATGTACTGCCTTGTGCGTCACTTACCAACTATAATCCAGATGGCAGAATAATGATGAAAATCCTACCCGTTAAGGTCAACAATAAAATTTACACGTACGCCTTCATAGATTGTGGTGCTGCAGTTACATTAGCTGCCAGAAGTTTAATTAAGAAGCTTGGCATTAAAGGTAAACACATAAGCCAAACGATGCGCACCGAAAATGGAGACTTCAAGTGTGATGAACTGGTCTCTCTATCAATTGGAAGTGTGGATGAGGAAGAGGATCTGATGTTGGATGATGTTTTATGTCACTGGGAAGCTCAGTGTGACTACAGACCACATGATGCCAGTCCAGTGGGTTAGTCAATGGTCACATTTAAGTGACATTAAACTTAGTAGATTGCCTCCTCAGTACAAAGATGTTGAGCTTATAATCGGCCTGAACAGCTTCCTGTGTCGTCACATTCTCAGTCAACGGCATGGCCAAGAAAATGAACCATCTGCTTACCTCACAAGGTTTGGTTGGGTAGCATTTGGACCAACAGGACTAAAGAATTCTATCCAAATTCGACATGTCCACCACATACAACCCACAGATAATTTGAGAGAATGCCTGCAAGAACACTTTAATAAGGATTTTTGGGAGAAGGAGATTCATTCCCGCCATGAAGATTCTGTTGAAGATAAATTGTTTACAGTGAAGGTGTCAGAATCCATTCGTCAGGAATCTGGAAAGTATATTCTCAATCTTCCCTTTAGAAATAAGTTTCGACTCCCAAACAATCGCAAGATGGCCATACACCGCCTGATAGGACTAAAAGAAGAAACTGGAAAATGATGATGCCTATCGACAGTCCTATGTGTCCTCAGTTGAAAATTACATCAGCAAAGGATATGCTGAGCTTGTGCCAACCACTTTGTTGGACCGAGATGATGGCAGAGTATGGTATATGCCACACCATGCTGTGCACCATCCCACGAAGCCCAAGCTTAGAGTCGTCTATGATCTTAAGGCTAAATTCCAAGGAATCTCGCTGAATGATCATCTCCTACAAGGCCCAGACCTAACAAATGCATTGATTGGTGTGATCCTAAGGTTTCGCCAAGGTCAATATGCTGTCACGGCAGACATAGAAGAAATGTTTCATCAGGTGAAAGTTCCCCCAGAAGATCGAGATGTACTCCGCTTCCTGTGGTGGCCAGGAGGAGATACCAGTCGAGCACCTGTAGAGTATCGTATGTCTGTCCATGTTTTTGGAGCCAAGTCATCACCCAGCTGTGTTAACTTTGCCCTCAGAAGAACAGCAGAGAGCATGGTAGTCAGTATGGCAATGAAGTGATTGAGGTAATTAGAAGAAACTTTTATGTAGACAATCTCCTCATAGCATCTGATGACAAGGAATCTATGAAACAGTTGGTGAAAGACCTCATTGATCTATGTGCTGCAGGAGGTTGGCGCCTGAATCAGTGGACATCTAACAACAAAAACATTCTGGCGACAATTCCTGAAACCGAGCGAGACATTTCAGTTGCATCTCTGGACTTGAGTAAGGATGAACTTCCAATGGAAAGAAACTCTGGGAATGCATTGGTCAATGGAGAATGACTATTTCACCTACAAGATCAATCCAAACGACAAGCCACTAACTCGGCGAGGAGTGTTGTCAGTAGTGGCTTCCATCTATGATCCTTTGGGTATGGTTGCACCTTTCACCTTGCCTGCTAAGCTGCTGCTACAAGACATGTGCCGACAGCAGTTGGGATGGGACGAGGAGATGGAAACGGCTGAGGTGACACAATGGAAGGCATGGCTCAATCAACTTCCCAAGCTGATAAACTTCAAGGTGCCTAGAAGTTTTATTCCCATGTCCTTTGGCACTGTCAGGTCCTGTCAATTACATCATTTTGCAGATGCAAGTCAAGTTGGATATGTATTGCCTCATACTTGAGGCTTGAAAGTGCCACTGGTGAAGTCTACTGCACTCTGGTAATGGGAAGATCAAGAGTAGCTCCATTGAAAAGGATGACCATTCCAAGATTAGAGTTAACTGCTGCGACTGTAGCAGCACGTATGGATCAGAAGCTACGCTCAGAACTGGACTTGAGATTAGAAAAGTCTGTCTTCTGGACTGACAGTACTTCTGTATTGAAGTATTTATTTAATGAAAAGGCGAGATATCAAACATTTGTGGCCAATAGGGTGAATCTCATTCGTGAATTATCACCTATTGAAGCTTGGAGGTATGTAGAGACTCGGTCTAACCCAGCAGATTTAGCTTCAAGAGGAGTTGACATGGACAGCTTCCTCGCCTCTTCAATCTGGATCACTGGGCCGACCTTTCTTAGTGAAAATGAGAAAATGTGGCCCATACTACCAAATGACGTCAAGAGAGGAACCTTAGAGGACGACCCAGAAGTAAAATCACCACAATTAGTCTGTGAAACAGTCATCACAGCAATGTCATTCATTGAGGAAATTGCCAGTCGCTTCTCGAATTGGATGACATTTGTGCACTGCATTGCCTGGCTAAGACGCTTTCACAGAACTCTGACACAAAGACTCAAGTCTTCAGTGGAAGCTGACATGACAAGAAAATGTTTGTGCATTGAAGAAGTATGAAGCTGAGAACAACATTTGGAGGCTTGTACAAAAGGACTCATTTGGTGCTGAAATTAAGATACTCTCAGGCAGTGAAGAAGCTCATGTACGGTCCTCTAGCAAGTTGGTTAAGCTAAAGCCTTGCCTGAAGGATGGACTACTTAGAGTGAGAGGACGACTCATCCACTCTCTTAGTAGTATTGATGTCAAACATCCAATAATTTTGCCAAGTAAATCCATGGCTGTGAAATTAATGGTGCAGTGGAAGCATAATAACTTAGCACACAGTGGCCACAATTATCTTATGGCTGAGTTACGCCAAAGGTTCTGGATTATACATGGCAATGCAGTGGTACGCTCTGTCATCCGGAATTGTGTGAGGTGCAGATCTCTCAGTGCTCGGCCAATGATCCAAAGATGGCTGATCTACCCGAAGACCGCATCACGTCAAATGTACCTCCCCTTCACACACACTGGGACCGACTGTTTTGGGCCCTTCCTAGTTAGAAAGGCAGGTCAAATTTGAAACGTTATGGAGTCATATTCACCTGCTTGGTGACTAGAGCCATCCACATAGAAGTGGTGGAGTCAATGGAAACTGATTTCTATATTAATGCTTTTAGAAGGTTCATTGCCAGGCGAGGCCCGGTCACCTCCATCCGGTCTGACAATGGGACAAATCTTGTGGGAGCTGAGAAGGAGCTTCGCAAAGAACTTGAGAAATTGAAGCACTCTGTGATTGCAGAGGTCATGTTGCTCAAGGGTGTCACATGGCAGTTCAATCCTCCTCATGCTTCGCACTTTGGCGGAGTATGGGAACGCCAGATTCGCACAATTCGACGAGTACTCCGTGGCCTGTGTCACCAGCAGGTCATGACAGATGACACTCTGCACACCCTATTCTGTGAGGTAGAAGCTATCATAAATGGCAGGCCATTAACCAGGGTTACTGATGATCCTGATGGTCCTCAACCACTAACACCCAACATGCTGCTAACCCTGAAAGGTGCAGGAGGTCCAATAACGGATACTGATCATAGTGATCTTTATGTTCGTCGACGTTGGAGGCAAGTTCAATACCTGGCAGACCTCTTCTGGAAGAGGTGGACAAAGGAATATCTTCCACTTCTCCAGGAACGCCAGAAGTGGACCACGAGACAGCGTAACCTGAAGGTTGGAGATATTGTTCTGAGCCTAGACAACAAACTGCCCCGAGGTTCATGGCCTTTGGGACGTGTGCTGGAAGTGATAAGTGATGCTGATGGTCACGTGAGGAGTGCTCGCTTGAAAACTGCTAGTGGAGAGTACCTCAGACCAATTAGCAAGATGTGTCTTTTGCTAGAAAATGAAATAGATGTAGGTGTCAGTAAAGGGTGTACGCCGAACGCTGCCCTTAAATGCTGATGTTACAATATTCTTTGTGGTATTTAGTGTACCACTAAATAGGGGGCGGTGTAGAATATTGCGAGTTTAAGTTTTGTTATATATACGGTAGATATGCAAGTTTAGACTAATAAATATTCCCTTTTTGTGTGTGTGTAATGAATGTTCATTGAGTCGGGCTGTATATCTACAGATAATTCCCATTTATTTCATATATTTATGTTAATAGGCTTCCAGTCTTTTGAAATAAGAAAAGTAAAGCATTACACATCTTTAATTCATGTATCAAGAAAGCTCAGACTTAAATAACTGTGGTACTTTGTTCAATGACCTGTATTTTAGTACATGGTTACCAATGATTTATTTGTTTGCAGCTCGAATGTCTCCAGGAAAGGATTAAACCGTGTGCAAGAATCCAAGAGATTATTCTTGATGCCCTTATTGATGCAGGTGATGCTGACACGTTGCACTGGTGGCCCTACAGTGTGACGTATTTTGTAGTTGGAGATACTGTGGGCTACAACCTGCATTCCTCACATACACCCTCCCGAGGGGTACATGATCTTGCAATCATATCCACTGCTTGACATTGCTTAAGAAAGATCCCAGCACTGGCTGGACCTTGGGTGGTATCCACGAACGTTCCCAGACGATTCTGAGAATAAAATTCTAAGAATCTACAGAATCAGTTTGAACCAGAAAAATCGTCTCAGATTTTGTCTGACGTTTTCTGAGTATATTCTCAACCAGTTTGAATTTATTTGAATAAACTTTTTAGCAGTATCAGTCGTGTGTATATATCGTTCATTTGCGCTCATCAGTTTGTTTCATATTCATAAATACCTTTATATGTATGCAAATGTGTTTTTCTTTTGGGAAATAATCTAATATGCTGGAGTTACACATATAAATGCATAATTAAAGGAAAAAATATGACGATCAATGAAAATGTGATGATGGCCTTTGCTGAAATGACTAAGCTGTGATATCACACTCTGCGGAACTTGATGGTGTATTTTTCTTCCAGAAAAATATATAACAACAAGAATAATAAGCATAAAAGGTATACTTATAGCAACAAACATAACTCAGAGGAGACAAATAATGAAGTTCAAGCTTAAGCTTAAATGATTTTGTAGTATTTGTCAATGTGATCGTATTTTTCTTTTTAATAGAGATTGACATAATATACAAGCAAAACTGTTACCACCCTGGTATAAGATTTTGTAAAGCTTAGAGATTATTTTTTATGAATCAGAAAAAATATATATTTTGCTGTTTTCTTGTAATATATTTGTTTTGCTCTAGCATGAGCCATTTATGAAATGATAGTGATAGCCCTTTGTGTTTATTTAGATTTAATATTTGAATAAAAAAATATAATTCATCTAAATGTAGATGACATAAGAAAAAAATAACGATGAGAAATTTAGTTTCACAGTAATTCTGATGCACCAAAATTAGAATTAGCTCTGTAATTTTGGATCATATTTAGTATATTATTATTGACATAAGATTATACAAGTTAGGGATGATAATTTTATGAATGAAAGTAATAAATATGTATTTAGCTGACTTCTTCAATAAATGTGTTTTGATGTAGCATGACCTATTTATGAAATAAGTTTAATAAGTTTATTTACCACCCTGGCTAACTGCTCAGTCATGGGCAATCGTGATTACAGAGTGTTACATATATTCAAATACATTCGACGGAGTACAGTATTTTGTGATTACAGTAACTATACATGGTAAAATGGGAATATGTCACACAGCATGCAAACGTATATTACCTAAGTTGATCTATCTTTGCCTTTGTGTTTGCATAACAGTGTTCTGTGGTGTGTTCTATGATTATAGTAGTTTTACATAGTAAAATTAGGATACAGCATGAGTATATCTTCTAATGTATCAGATGCTATAAAATAATCACATAGTTCTTTATACCTAATGTTAGGTGGTCTGAAAGGCTGTATCACATGACACTCCGAGATAAAATGCTCAAGCGTTCGCTTATTTTCCTCTTTACACAGTCTACATCTAGATTCATCTGCTATTCTTGCACCTTGCAGTTGCCAGTACATTCTATAACCTAAACATATTCTGGCAATAAACACGTCACATTGTCTGGTTTTACTTAGGTGCCATCCATAGCAGGGCTTACAATATCTATACTGATCGTAGTGCCTTATACTATAGCTTCCAGGCTTTTGTGAACTCGTCAGATCTATCAGTTCTTCATTATGAGAACTATGAGTGACAAGTTCAGCCTGTACAGGTGCAAAGGAGATTACCAGGTACCTGGGCTATAAGGCGAAGGGCACTATAGGTAATTCCATCTTCACCAGGGGCGGACGCCTGGCCTTTGCTTAGTGCATTGTTCAATTCAGTCAGAAATGTCGGAATCAGAACATCCAATCTCTGTAGCAAATTTCCGTGCAACTTTAGACTGATTAAGGTGATTCTGAATATTTGTGGGAAGTGAGCTTAGTCTGGACGCTCCAGCCCACTGACTAAGGAGCATTGCTGCCTGTGCAAGAGGACTATGAAACTGTGGAGAATTAGTCGGTTTGCCTGAAAGACGATTAATTTTTTTTCCAGATCTCAGACATTGAATTGTTATTGTTAATGCTTTGTAGGAACTGTTCAGTGTTCATTTCTAATTTGAGTTTTTAATTCCTGTAGATTTGTGTTAGCCCTAAGAAGGTTGCCACAAGTATTGTCTTGCCTGTAGATATTCAGACGCTTCTGAACTCGCTTTTGTTCCCTTGATAATGTGGGGTCACCGACCCACTTAGGTTGTTTCGAGGGTTGTGAGTTATTATTCTCTAAGGTTTTCTTTGGACAGACCCAGGTGTTGTAGTAATCTGTGACCACTTACGTCATATCCACGGAGACCTTATTGGTATTTGTTATACCAATCATAGATGCGTGATTTAAAGTGGTGCTCAAGGTAAGAAGGAATTGAGATTTTCAGCCTATTTGTTTTTGCGGATTGGCTATTGTCAACAGCGTATCTCGTTTCCAGTGCAAAGTGGTCACTGATTAACAAGATCCCTTCCTATTACATAATCTAGCCTTCCCCTGCCACATGAGTTTTCCTACCTGTATCATATACGGTCATAGATCTGTTGTTCTCAAAATGTCTGAATTCTTCGCCACTTTCTTTACATTGACTATCACCAAATGAAGAAAGTCTAGCATTAAAATCTCCCATGCATATTGTGCCATGATTCTAAAAGTTGGGCAGAGAATCGGTTTGAAACTTTTTACACCTTGCGTAGACATTGTACAGGGAGAAGAACCCAGAGGCTGTTCGAATATGTGGATGATGATACTGCGCATTGTCATCGGACGTCTTCACCAGTTTATGCGGTATGGCATGAAGTCAAGAGACCTGTCATTCCTGTGTTTGTATAGGAATACTCTCTAATTCTAGGGACGGTTTTTAATTTAGTGGTTGATGTGAAGGGCTCTTGTAAACAGATAATTTCAACATTATTATTATAAACATAATAAAGCGTCATTAATTCAACAGTTTACACCACGTATATTCCATGAAAGAAATGTAATTATTTTCTTGTCCCCATCACACCTTATTATTAGCTGAGTGGTCAAATCTTTGTTTAATGAAGCCCTTTAGTTTCTTTCTTAGGTTCTGCGCAATCTCCTTATATTGATATTATACGCATAATTCGTACCTGCCATCATTTTCAGTGTTTCCCAAAGGTTTTCCATTTCCTGCATATCCTCACCGACGTTATTTTCACTGTCATCACCGTTTTCATTCGTCGATCGTCCATATCATCATCATTATCATCCGTGTAATGTTATCATTATCATGTGTCATGTGTAATGTTATCATTATCATGTGATGTTATCATGTGTAATGTTATCATTATCATGTGTAATATTAGCATTATCATGTGTAATGTTATCATTATCATGTGTAATGTTATCATTATCATGTGTAATATTAGCATTAACATGTGTAATGCTATCATTATCATGTGTAATATTAACATTAGCATGAGAGACCTCATTCACATTTTCGATATCACTGACATCATTAGGAAGTATATTTTTCCTATATACACTATCACTTTCTCTTTCCTTTAGCAGTTTTGTAAGTTCAGCAATTTCTTGCCTGAGGCTACTTATTTCCTCGGCCATTTCCTTTATTTTTTCACCATTCGTTAGTTCTGAGGCATTGTTTTCTGGGATGGGAAACCCCCCAGGCAGCGGCGGGAATTCCTATGGGTTAGCGACATCACATGGCACCGGGCAGCGTGTAGCTGGGCTGGTCATCGCCACTCCGCGGTCGATGGGCACGGCCGGGGCATGGAGAGGGGTTTAAGCGTGCCGGCTTGTGGGGACAGTTACGGTGCCAGGCCGTCACACCTTGCTCCCCCACTTGACGCACCTCTTCACGATGGCGACGGCGTCTTCGGTGTCGTTGTCCTTTCCTCTGTTGCTTGCAGGGTAGTCCTTTGTCTGGTGAGCTGCACAGACAACACAAGCTGATTCCTTCCTGCAGTGTTTCGCTACATGCCGTAACCCTGGCACTTGTAGCAGGCCACTACCTCTGAGTTCCACGGGCGAATAGAGCTCGGCTCTATGTACTTGCCAAAGAACTGATGTTCAGTGGGTGGCGGCCGTTCTATGCTCCACACAATTATGATTTTATTTAATGGCTGCCCTTTTTTATAGATTCTCCGGGCTTTAAAAATACCCGGAAGGTGCATTGCGTCATCTGCAGGGGCCTCCTTTGGAAACCTGGTAACCAGGTATTCCCCGTATCTCTTGGGTCTGGGCTGATACTAGTCTTTATCTTCAAGCAAAATCCCTTCGATAGCACCATTGATCATCTGGGCTACGTAGTGTCGTTGGTCCCGTTGGACATAGACGTAGCGTGAGGATCGCCATTTCCCCTGCACTATGTCTAGTGGTCCATGCTCTTGGAGGAAAGGGACTCGGCTGACTCTCTTCATCCACCTTATTTAATCGACCGTGGACGTTTC